GGGGGGGGGGGGGCGCTCTTATGTTTTGCATGTCTTGGCAGTTAGACCATTGACCACGCGTCCTCAGCGATGTTCCCACAGCACCGATCACCGATGGCCAATCGCTCCTTCCTACTTGGCCAGAGGTGGCTCAAAAATGTTTCCCTAGCCTATCTATCCTATCGATATCACTTCCCGCCGTTTCAATCCACTCCGCATGTCCCAGTACAGCTACCGCCTTCTCCTGGCTATTCCATACCTGTAAAAACATCCCTGTATCTTCATTCTACTTTTCCCAGCTTAGTGACGTACATTTCCCTCTTCTTCTTGTACAACGGACATTCCGCAACGACATGGACCCGGTCTTCGCACTCGGAGCCGCATTCACATTTGAATTTGTCGTCTCCATCGTCTACCTTCCGAACTCTTCGTCTACGTTCTTGAAGGCCAATGTCTCCGGTCCTAATTTTGACCTTCAGCTTTGTCCCTGCATTCATTGGTCCATGTAGGTACTCCTTGAATCCTATTCCTTCTTCCAATATTCCGTACACACCTTGCACCCTCTTTATCCTTGTTTATTTGGTTAGAAGGGGGATGGGGCGCGTTCGTGGAACCTAACACAGGACAGAGCGCGGACGCAAGCAACCGCCAGAAAGAAAAAACAACCGAAGCAGGAGTTCTAGTGCCACCTTGAGAGACGCGATATCGACGGCATCCAGCGCCCATTTCCTCTCCAGCTTCCCGTGCAAGAAGTCGAGGTAGAGGCGAGACGAAGCCCCTCTGTGAACATCTATGGTCCTCGCCTTGCTGAGCCCGAGCGCTAGCGCCAGAGAGTCTCGCTTCTGCAGCACCGGGTCGTCGGTGGCCAAGCTGAACGTTTCCGGTTGCGCAACCGGGGGAAAGGAATGAATCGTTGGGGAGTGTTCGAAGAGGAGTGCTTGGATGATCGACAGGCCGCCCACATCAAGGGGTGGGGCGCACTAATACGATATTTTCTCCGTCAAGGATTGCAGACGGCGGCGAAAGCATCCGAGCATTGCTCTTCGTTCGCCCCGGTCTTCGTGGTTCGAGTCAGCGTTGATCTCAAGCATCGGACATAGCAACGGGATTAGGCAAGTTGTTATTTGTAGGCGGGCGAAAGGAAGTTTTGGGTGCAGTAACGAGCCCGTATTAAGGTCACGAGCCTAGTGCCAAGGGTTCTGACCGAATCTATACCGGGCATCCGGCACCATTTTGGAGCATGAGAACGCGATTTTGCCGGATTTTTTACGCAGAGAGACCGGCCGTGTTTACGCGGCCGTACACAAGGGTTACCGCTGTTGTTGCAACAAAGAGTAAGCGTAAGGGTCGTTGTCCTTCACCTGTCGCGACGAGGGGAAAAGGCCTCCTCCAGAAAGAAGGTGTACACTGGCAGTACGTGCTTCGGTCCCACCGCCTGGCCAATGCCCTCCGTGTACAGGGGGTCCGACCGCCCAGTGGTGGACGCGCGAAGCACCACCTTGTTGTACGAGGAAGGAAGGGAACAAAAAAAACTTGAATAAAAACACTTTAAGGCACATTTGTCTCGTTTCTCAAATCGCAGCAAATCGAGTCCTCTCGGCCTCTCACAGGCCGGCATAAGCGTTGACTTGGAGTTAAAGTAAAATTGGGCGGTCCATGGTGTCGTCTTTGCTCTGGCGGGGTTCTCTCTGAGCATCGCAGGCCAAAACCATTTCAACTATTAGGGTATATCGGCTGTTCGCTGTGTCCCGTTCGGCCTGTCTGTCTCTGCCTATAGTGTTCAAGCTGGTGCTGCTCTCGCTGCTCTTCGCTTGCACCTCTTTGGCGGCAAAGCTACAAAACATCCACTGGTGCAAGTATTACAGCGAGAGCTTTGCCGTGGACGAGCTACCCGAATGCGTCTCCCAGCTAACTACTGTACCTCCAGTTCCTTCGATGCCCCTGCCCTCTCACACAAGGACGCTAGCCTCAGGACTCGTCCCATTATCTCGTCAGCCCTCGTGTCCAGCTTCTTGGCATGACCCAGCCCTTCTCCGTTGCACTGTTCGGCGACAGCCGCGATCGATTGGTCACCGACAGTACTTCCATCACAGCGAGCGAGCGCGGGCATGGCCACGTCGTCCCTGGCACCACCATCACCGCTGTTGACCAGCAGAGGAGTTGTAGACGAGAAGGCGGTAGCTGGCATCGCCTTTCGCATGCCCTTTCGAGCATCCTTCAGCGCCTATATATAGGGTACGTACGTGCATGTGAGGAAGGGGGGGGGGGGGGGGGG